AGGCTCATATGTCTGGATGGTTCACATTTACCTCAGAAATGTGGCAGATATTGGGGACCAGTAGGTAGCGTGGCGGTTAAGGTGCTGGACACTACCACATGGCCAACCACGGTTTGAGTCCCAGACCTGGAGGCTTGCTTTCTCACTTTCCCTCTCTCTCTCTCTCTCTGTGTGTGTGTGTGTGTGTGTGTGTGTGTGTGTGTGTGGGTCTTTCTCTGGTCAAATTAAAATAAATGAATGAATAAATAAAATTAAAATAATTAATTTGAAAAAGTGTGGCAGATATTGTTTTAAGGACTGGTCCACAGTGCCTTATATGAATGCCTTGAGGCTATATATATTGGGGGTTTTTTCGTTTCTTTTTTTAGAGAGGCTTTTGCTCTCTGAAAGGGTGTGTGTGCTCGACAGAAAGACAGAGAAAGACAGAAAGTGAGAAATCACCCCCCCCCAGGGGGGATGGCCACACCACAATCCCTTCTTCTCCATTGTCCTCTCCGGATCTTGGGCATGCACACATACACACCTGGTGTAAGTTTAAGCTACCGCATCTAGGACCCAAACCACAGTTAACTACATGAGAGTTCAGCGACATAGCCATTACGCCATCTGCTGGTCCAGAAGCTATATATATTTTATAAATCAGAATTTTTTTCCCAAATTTTAGAGAGTAAATATAATGCTTAGGCTATATGAGGAGTCTTTGAAGAGTTCATGGAAATGAGTTTTATCAAAAGAAACTATGCATAAATTTCAAGATTTTTTTTTGCACCAAAAATAAACTAATACTTTAATTTGATTTTTCCATGAGTTTTTGAAGTCCCCTTACATTAACTCCCTAAAGGGAGTTAAGCTGACGGGTCTAGGCAGCACCTACAATCAAACACATTAACATTTCTGCACCCTGTGGAATGCAGAATGGAATAAAGATGGCAGCCTCCAGTCAGGTTTGGCCACCCAATAATTTGCTGAAAACTTATGTACAAACTTGGTTTTCAGAGATTTTGGGATTGGAGAAATGTGTGAACTTGTTATTGAGATGTATTGACTCATTTATTCTCTCAATAACATGTGATAATGTACTTACCTTTATTTGGGTGATGAGCCAAACAGCAGAAAGACTAGTAAGTGGCAGAGCCAGCATTTGAATGGAGGATGTTTTATTCCAGAACCTGTGTTTTTCACCACAGTGAGAACTCCCAAGAGGATTCCACAAATCACACTGGCCCAAGTTTCACTATTAATGTGATCTTGGATGACTTCCTTAGCACCCTGGACCTGTTTTCTCCTCTATTTCTTTGAGTGACATATTGAGGTGAGCTGGAATCTTTCACCCCAGGAAGGCTAAATCAGAAGGCTTGGAAGTCTCATTCCTGC